AAAACCGTACTGGAACGAGGAACTACAAAACACTGTGGAACTCTATGCGTATCGCAGAAAATGAATTCCTTAAATGCCGATCGGATAACCAAACAAGGACGCGCCTGCGTGTTAACTATACAAATGCCAGAAATATATTTGACAAATGCTTGAAGCAAACTGAACGGTTTTATAGGAGGTCAAAGGCACTCGACATCGAGGAAATGTCGACATCAAACCCTAACGAGTTTTGGCAAAAAATTCAGCAACTTGGTCCGCGTAAAGACAAAAGTATTCCGGTTGAGATCGTGGATGGTAGCGGAAACACGATTAAGGAGGAACATGTGGTTTTTGAGCGGTGGAGAAACGACTTCTACAACCTGTATAACTGCAATGAAAATAATGAATTCGATGAAATACATTATGATCGAGTGAAAATTCACGAATTGTTGCTCGAGAATGATATGAGTGACCCATTACACGAGTCAAACACAGAACTCAATTACAATATTACACCACAGGAAATAATGTGTATAGTGCAAAAAGCGAAAAGTGGATCAGCATGTGGAATCGACGAGATCCCTTATGATGTACTGAAAAATCCTGCTGTTATAAAGACAATTCACCATCTATTTCAACTTATTTTTGACTGCAGTATTATACCCTCTGTGTGGCGAAAGGCAGTTATTTGCCCAATACTGAAAGACCCAAATTCTGATAAGCGTGTTCCAATGCACTACCGCGGTATCAGTCTGTTGTGTTGTATTAGCAAACTGTACACATCTTTCTTGAACAAACGTCTTACAGGTTATTTGGAAAAATAACGACATTCTCGCAGACGAGCAAAACGGATTTAGGAAGCAACGGTCATGTGAAGACCACGTGTTTACGCTAAACAGTGTTATACGGAACAATAAATCAGTGTTCACAGCCTATATTGATCTTAAAAAATGTTTTGATTACATAGATAGAGACATGCTACTATACAAACTGTTGATAAATAACATAGACGGCAAACTGTATAACTCAATTAAGAATATATACGCAAGCTCAGTGTCGTGCATACGTATAAATAACAAGCTTACAGACTGGTTCAGCTGCTTGTCAGGCGTGAAACAAGGCTGTAATGTGTCTCCGACATTGTTCTCCGTATTCGCTAACGATCTTGCACGTGAAATCAACGACCTTGACCTTGGAGTAACGATTGGTGACATTAAACTTTCCTTGTTAATGTACGCAGACGATATTGTCTTAATGGCGGATAGTGAGGAGAAATTACAGTCCATGTTAGACACTGTTAGTAACTGGTGCCAACGCTGGAGAGTACTTATCAATGCAGATAAATCTAAATGCATGCATTTTTCGCAAGGGCCCGGCACAACGAAGTGCCCTTTTGAATTCAAAAAAGGGGAAAAAAATTACTCTGGAAACATTTAAAAAAATACAAAAACCTGGGGGTTTATTATTTCCATAGAAGAAGGGATTTTTAAAATTTTTAAACAGAAATTCTTTTGGGTTTTAAAGAAACCCGGGTCGAGCCCCCTGGCCCATCATTAACAAGTTTACAAACCTAAAAAGATTTTGGTTTTCCCAATTTCAAAAAGGGAAAAATTGTTTTTCTTCCTGTGTTTTTGCCTTTTATTTTGGACTATTGCTCTTTCCAAAGTTTTGGGGTTTTTAAAAAATATCAAGCAACAGAAAAATGCCCAAAAACAGAGCCATGGGGGTATTTCCCTTTGGGTTGTCCATCGCTTCACGCCTATTCTTGCGATGGGTTGGTGACATGGGTGGGAATCCCTTTAGGGGTTCACAGAATGGGGAAAAAATTCTCCCGACTGGGGAAATAGTTTAAATAATTTTTGGAATTCGAGAATTAACAAAAAAGTTTTTCAATTTTGACTCCCAAAATGCAAAAAATAAAGGGGGTTTTCCCAAACATAAAAAAATTGTTAAAATTTAACACTTGGTTTTTAAACCCCAAAATTACAAAAAAACCAATTTTGAAAACATTAAATCAATTTTATAAAAAATGCTAAGGGGTTTAATAGTGCCCAAATTTTTTCCAATTTTTGGTCAAAAGGGGATGTTCCAAACGGGTCCCCAAAACTAAAAACCCTTACCGAATTTTTTAAAGACAGCTTTAAATGCGAAGACTATGTATTTTTGAATTTAAAAACAAAAAACGAAAGATTTTTAACTGTGTAAAATTTAGAAACCTGGTATTCTACCGTTAAGAAATTGAAACAGGACGTTACATTGGAGAACAGCCTGATCAGAGATTATGTAGACTTTGTACTCGAATCGTGTAGAAGACGAGAAACACTTCCTTTTTCAGTGTGAACAGTATAAAGACTTGCGTGAAAAATACGTTCAGAACTCTTTTTGATTTCGTTAACGATCCTCTGATGGACATGAATCAGAGACTATCTCATATTGTTTCAAACTACCTAGAAAATTTTGCAAAAAATTTCTTATATCCGCATACCTTAAAAGAAGAAGTGTCTTGTTCTCTTAGTAATCAATTAACCTTGATAACTAATTTTGACTTAAACCATTATATACATATAGTTTTGTATATGTAATTAAAATGAACCCATTTTGCAATGAATGTGTGTATAATATAATTATGTAATATTGTAATTCAAAGTTTTCTTTGTTTCACTATATGTCTGTGTCCGTACTATTATTGAAACCATACCTCTTTTTATATACATATACACGATAATATTTAACGCAAGTTCAGTAAACGTAATATTGTTGTTATTCGAATATTAAATAGTGTGATCACTCTTTCACCAGTTCAGTAACACATTCTAAGTGATATAAACTTTCAAAAGTAAATTGTTTTCCAAATCCCAACCTTCTCAGTAACGAGTGTTGTATATGTAATTTAAATGTATATAATGCTATGTACTTGAATAATGTATATATATGTATTATGATAATTACAATAATTGTAATATGTCGCCTAAATTATATATGTATAATAATAAGCACAATAATTGTAATATGCCGCTCAAAGTACCTTTACATAGTAACTAATTAGTTGTTGATATTTGATAACGTAAGAAAATATATTACCAGTATTTTGTACATGTACTTCAGATCATCCTATGTATAAAAGAAGTAACTTTATTGAATTATGTAAATAATGACATCATTGATTTCCCGGTGACATATAGGCCCAAAGGGCCGGGTGCCTTTTCTTTCATCTGTATATTATGTATCTATGTCATTTATGCACATGTCACGATAATAAACTATATCTTATCTTATCTTATCTATTACTTTCTTTTATCACATACATTTAGTAAAACTAAAAGGGGGTCCCCAGATTTTCACTAATCTTATTAATTTAAAAAAGTTTATTTCCTTACAATTTATGTATGGGTGTGCACAGTGCGATCATAAAAACATAATATTTTTTTTCAAAACACAATAATATCGACAAAACGAAACAGAAAAAAATGTCCTTATTTGGATTTGAAGCACAGGACCCCCATTTTAACAAAATTTTCCTAGCGCGTGTACTTTCACAGCTGTGGGGGCAACGCTATTGAAAAGCGATTATTTTAATTTATACACAATAGGTAATAGAAAGAGCATCGAAACACGAGGCTATCTGATTTGTACGAGGGGGCCTAGCCCCGAGTATTAATAAGATTGCCGAGTGTTTTGATGATCTTTCTCTTTTGTATCATAGTCAAACATAAAAACACGTTCCCTGTTGTCACAATATGAAACCCCGGCAAAAAGGAACCAATGAACAAACATCTGAATATGATATTTCTGTCGCTTTCCCTTTCTCTGCCGTCACAATATGAAAACCCCAGCAAAAATGAGCCAATCAATGGGCATGCGGGTAATAAATAACTAATACTAACGCACTGTGCATGTATATGTATACGATTTTACTCTAACACATTTTCAACAGAAAGGTCCCCAAACTATGATACAATGTTAAGTTGTATCATAGTTTGGGTACCTTTCTGTCGAAAATGTGTCAGAGTTAAATCGTAAAATGAACAAATATTTGCGGCTATCCAATAATTTATCAAAACTACTGACATTTTTCGAAACACTTGTTATTTTTGTAAATCGGCCGATTGTATTTGGTACCATAAATAATTGAGAATCACATTTATGATGGACGTTTGCTCCCTTTGACGAATAATGTTAAATGCCGGATCCAGTGACATTATGCTCATATTTTCATAGTCAAGTTGAGCTGATTTGACTTTATATTTCAAATTATTGACTGTTAAAATGGTGTTTGACCAAGAGTTAATATTGGAAAACGTTCAGGATAAAATTATAAATCTGCCTAAAATATAAAAAGACTGCCCCACTTTTTTTATAAACTGAGCGTTAGAGGTAAATTCTAATACATATTTAAAGAATTTTATTTGAATCTGTGCATTAACTATTGTTTATGGGAAGGAAATCATTAAATTAAAAGGAATTATGGTAAAATGAAAACTTATTTTGATATTCACCTGTTCACTCACTTTATACCCTTGGGTGGGCATAATGTCACTTTAACCTTGTCATTATTATATAGATACATAAATATACATTTTTTCTGTCTTACTTATTTCTTACATTGTTTTAATCTTTATGATGTTAATCTGTCTTTATCTTTTTTCTTTGTTCGCTTTATATGTATACATGATACACTTTCTCATATAAATGCCATCAATGTTGATTAATATATTTTTCATGGGGAGAGCCGATCGCTAATGTTGTATGAACTTGGGCCCAACCCTTTTGCTATTTGTTATTTCGAAATCAATTTGTTTCTCTGTATATTTACATGTATATATTAGCAATAAAATATGATTTAACTAAGTGTTAAACAAATATTTAAATCAGTATAATATGAAAGGTTTACATTCGATAACGCTAAAATGTTTACAATGTTTGAAATAGGTCAGATATAAATAGATATACTAGCTATAACGACACGTAACAGGAATAATCTAGAACAATAATCTGGTATATATATAAACCTATCCCCGGTGTAGTTATCAATAAATTCATAAGTACCAGATCAGGGAAATTAATACTTTTTACGTTTAGCGCTGATCATATCGTTTTTTTCTTTAGTCCTATTAGGAAGTCATTAAATTTTGATAAAAAGTATTTCTTCAATTCAGACACTTAACGCATCTCCAATCCAATTAGCAAAAGCTGGATTATACTCGTTTAGAACGCTAGAAAACGCTACGTGTTTCTGTTGTAGTGCTTGTGCAAAAGACGAAGCAGTGTTTGAGGTATAGAAACGTCTTCCACCACTATTCAAATTTATGACACGCGAAAATAGTGCCGATTTTCCGATCTTTAGCATTCCTGGACCGATACATGCTGAGAATGATTGGACTGTTACAGAGAAGGGATCTATAATAACAACAGTCTCGGAACATGATCAGAGTCACAGAGAAAATATTGCAGACGATGTACACCAACCTTCGGAAGACTGTCGATACGTAAATGATTCGCAAACAAATGATAGGGGAAATTTGAATAAAAGAACGACTATTTTACAAACAAATGGCCAATTGGAATATTACCCTGGTATATCCACAGAGAGACCTAAACATCCAGATTACGGAATAAAAAGTGTAAGATTATCCTCTTTTACAAATTGGAATCAAGGAATAGTTGACCCGACGCAGCTTGCAGAGGCAGGGTTCTTTTACACAGGTATCGGTTTATTTTCTCATTAAAGTATACGTATTTCATACTAACTTTTTTCTGGCGGATTTTCAAGAGAAAGTTACTGTAATTCCAAAAATAATATAACTTTTATGTTTTAAGCGTCTAAATTATTTGACATTATTTCATATAGAAATATTGACTACTGCCTAAGTCGGTGCTAAAGCTAGCTTACGTTTGTATTTAAACTTCAGTCCATTTTTTCTATGATAGGCGTTATTGAATATTTCCATAATATTTCCGTTTTATCTTTTTAGTTAAATCAAATTAACTAACTTATATTTCCAGGGGATCGTGACTGCGTGACATGTTTCTTTTGTGGAGATGGAATGAAAGGCTGGGAAGAAGGAGACAATCCTTGGATTGAACACGCAAGATGGTTTCCAAATTGTTCATTTGTGAAACAATGCAAGGGAGATAACTTTGTTAATATGTGCCGAATGGCCAACATCAATTATATGTCAGCCATGGACAAATGGAAAATTTTGTAAGTCAATGAATAATATTTTTGGCTCATTTATTTTTATATATGAAGTGATTTTTAAAAGATTTTTGATTAACGATTGACTAGATTTCACTGAGGTGACAGACTTTCAATCACATATTATTTGGCATTTAAAGATCCTGTAACACATTTTTTTATGTTTTTTTTTTTTATATAAATATGATGCTCAAATTAAGATTTATCAATATTGTAGGTTCGAAAAAGCATTATTTATAAAGATATAACCGAATTAAACATTTCATGTAAATAAAGGGAGGTAATAAAATTTATTTTCTTTAAAGTTTAAGTCAAATTTTACAGTAAGTAATGATTGCATATATTTTTAATGGTTAACCATATAATATGCACAAATATTTGCAGTACATATTTTACATATTCTTCGATGTTTTAAAAATTTTTTTATTTGCTGATTTATTTACAATAATAATTTCACCTTAGGGGTTTACAACTTTTCATCACAACAATACAGGATTTTAAAATTAAAACTGAAATGAAAACATAAATAGATGTCATTGAATAATGTAATATTTTTCAGGTTTTTTATCCACCACAAAGAACTTTGAAAGCTAAGACGAAAAGGCCACGTTAGAATGATAAACAAGTAGAAGATTTGAATAAGCAAGCCTGGCAAAACTTGTAAGGGGGAATGGGTTATGGGCAAGAAGAACTTGGGAAAATGCTATTAAATGTGCAAGAGCGTGAAAAATTTATGGGTTCTTCCGAGGTTAAGAGCCCAATACATCCTAAGAGTCCTTGTTAGACAAAGTTATAGAGGAAAGCAAGAAATATAACATAGCGGCGGCTCATAACACTTTTTGGCCCTACCAACCTGCAAACAACAAGATGGTTATGCCACAAATGCTGATAGTAGCACTGTAAAAAGTTCAGGTATAAATGAAAATAATTTTATTGTAAGCAATATCTATTTAAGCTGAATGTTTTCCAGTCATTTTTCTTCACTCTATCGGTTAACTAATTAAATGCCAGTTATATCTGTATCCCAAAACAGAATTGATTTCAAATAATATCAGCTTAATGTTTTGTCTTAAATGTAAATATGCGCTATTTCGTGGTTGGAGTAATTTTTAAATCTTTTATCATTTCAGAGCAACAGGCGCTTTTAGATGAGAAATCTTCAGTTAAAAAATCAGATAACATGCAAAATTTGTATGGACAAAGATGCGTGTGTTGTATTTTTACCATGCGGTCACATGGTTTCTTGTGTGGAATGTGCGTTCGCTTTAAGGAAATGTGCAATATGTAGAACTTTGATACAAGGAACAATACGAACTTACTTGGCATGAAAAAATGTTAATGATAACATTGGGATTTTAAATTTTCTCCATTTCAAAATGTCTGGAAAAATGAATGAACAGAAAAATACATTCATCAATATTACATGTTATGATGCAGTATAATCATGATTTTATTTATTTATTTATTTATTTATTTATTTATTTATTTATTTATTTATTTATTTATTTATTTATTTATTTATTTATTATCCACTGTCAGTGTATACATAGTTTTATACCTATATCATTCTTTACGGAATCATATACATTAATCTCTATCGGATGTTAGTTTAAATACCATTAAAGTGTTTTAGTCATTTCACTGCTTCTCATAACCTTTTTATATCACAAATATAAATGTTATCGTTAAATCGTTTTTGTCTTTTTTCCGTGTTTTTGTTGTTGATGCTGTTGTTTCTTCTTGTTGTAATTGTTGTTGTTGTTTTTGTTTTCTGAAAATGGAAAGCCAGTCAGTCACTATATAAATTTACATAACAGGGTTAAGGCTGCAGACTTGTGAAGAAGTTTTCGAACTGCGATAGTAATGATATTTGATAATCCTAAAGGACTAGACAAATGAAACAATGTTTATATGAAACAGGTTCCATCTTGTCATGACTGCCAAACAACACTTAGCACCCGCAGTTGTAAGTTTAAAAACTCTGCACACAAGTTGATAATCCTTACAAAAGATAGCTGTAATGACATTGATGACTTAAAGGAATGTTGCGATTACTTTGTCACTGAAACTTGAAATGTTTTGTTTAGGGTTAAAGGACTTCCAAACAGATTATCACAAACAATGGTCAATTTAGAAAAGGCTCAAAACAATGATGTAGAGTAAAAATGGAAATATTTATATAAATATCTCAACAGACTGGCATAAGTAGTCCAAACATTAAACATTTTAGTCAAAACATTGTTACGTAATTAGTTATAAAATCTATAGATTTATAGATAATAATAAACGTAAAGTGAAACATGTTAAAAGCCGTACACTTTGAATATGAAATAAATCGAAGAAAATTGAATTTTTAATGAACGCACAAAAGGGCAAAAATTAAAATGTTGCATACTCGGTTAGATTGAGGCTGTTCATTACTATAAAATAAAAAAATAAAAAAGACTATAAAATTAGACAAGATCCTTTGAATTTCGAAACATCTGCAGATGTGTTCATACAGTGGTCGTCAAATATCCGTCTATATGACACGTTTGTGTCCTTCCGTGAAAAACAACGTATGGTCCCCTAGAAAAAAAATGTTTTCGCCGCAAACGATAAACTAGATAAAAGAGAATATTGAAAGAGGGTCATCGGTTACAAAGCTAATTTATCGCAGACAAGCAGTCAAAATACAAATTGAAGAATCTGGCAACAAATTTTAAGGGTGATTTAACAGTTTTCAAGTAAGAATACTTGAAACACCCAATCAATTAAAGAACTTTAAATTCTACAAATACAACAATAATGCCGAGTTGGACGACCGTCAATGATCGAATGTTCTTTGTTGATAACTAATCTTACAGGTTATAAGTCATTCTTTAATGACGGATCCTTATTCTTTTGAAAGTATATAAATAAAATCTAAATGTTGCTGACAATTAAAACCAATATTACAGCAATATATTGACAATGTTTTGTTTAACTACAATACCAATCATTAACCATAGCGTGCACACGATTAGCTGTTACTATTTTTGGCAGTACGAATGTACGAACTCTTTTGAAAACACGAAAATAAATAATTGTTTCTACAGCATTTATTGCTTGTAGAAAATCTTATTATGCAGAGGAAAATATTGCGCTTTTACGATATAAATTATTTATTATTATTGTTGTTTTGTATAGCTTTTATTTCTGATACTAGCATATAACTGAACTAACATATACTTTTTTAAGGTACTTTGATTATTTTTGATTATTTTTAGATAAAACCAAAATTATCAATGCCAGGTTTTAGGGCCGATAAAGGTGAGAACTTAACAATTTAATAAGTTGGTTTGAGCATACAATGTTTGCCTTTATAATTTGCTTTACTACTATCTAAAGTCATCTCCTTTTTTGCAACTTGGTTTAAAAATTATATTTTATGCATAATTTCAAGTTCTAAACGAAACTAAAGTAAGAGGACCTTTTTTGTCTTTTTGGTCTTACTATAGATTCTTATGTAGTTTGCTACATATTAACTTTAATAATTTTTGAACTTTCATAATATTTACTTAAACGTAGCATACATTGTTTTTAATTAAGTATTTAACAACGATACGAGTATCTATTCCTAAATAAAACAAGTTTGTCTGGCCTTGCTTATTTACTTTGACCTTTTTTCTATAAAACAGCCATTTAAGTATCTTAAACCAGAGACGGTGTCATGCTAGATAAATTATTTTGACAATTTATTTCAAACACGGTGATTAAGTAGAGAACAGCTAATTTACAACAAAATTTTTTAAAATAAGATTGTATTAAAACAAAAAGAAGTAGAATGTTGCCAAAGGATAAAAGAGTAAAATCAAAACATGCTAAAATACACAATGGTCGAAAAAAACAAGCATTTAATACAGAAAAAGGAAAAGTAAAGAAGCATACAGCAGATGAAGCTAGCAAATACTATGACAGAACAGCCGTAGACCGACAAACAGGAATTCGAGAGACCGCAGACGTTAAAGGTGCAGTAAATATTTATAAATATGGGTGTAATAAAATTTCTCCAGTGTTAGCTCAGACAGAAGCAATATCTTTAGAAAAAGAGTCTCAGGCACCTGGAACTTATAGTATTGCTCGCAGTGATTCGTTTTGTTCTGTAAGGGGACAGTTTGGCGCAGTGTTAGCTCAGACAGAAGCAATGTCTTTAGAAAAAACGTCTGAGACACCCGGAACTTATAGTATTGCTCGCAGTGATTCGTTTTGTTCTGTAAGGGGACAGTTTGGTGGGAACTGTACATTTCAGCATAAATCTTATGATGTCGGAAGTCATGAATTTTGTTCTAATTGCTTGAACACAGAATTTTTACCAAGGCGTCATATCATTGCGGTAAATGTGGAACCTTTGGAAGATATTTGTGTCAGGAGTGTTCAAAACTGCATGCTGAATCAGTAGAAGGCCATCACGTTATTTCTCTAGCCAGCAACTTACTCGGGTAAGTAGACGAAATCGAATCTTTCTAAAAGAATTTTTATCACAAACATGGCGTTTTATACACTCATCATGCATTTATTTTGGCAACTCAATATAAAAGGAGTATACCATATTGGTCAACATAAATGTTACAATATACAAAACGATCATTACTTTATTGATTGTTATAAATTATTTACATGTATTGAGCATGTATGTTACGTTTTTAAAGCATTGCGCATCATTAATGATTTTACTACATTATTATGTTTTCAGAGAAATAAGCGAAAAAGAGCATGATCAATTGAGTTTCAAAATGATGTTCCTTTCCTGAAATTCATAAAAGATATATCAATCAAAACAGATAAAGATGAAGAGCCTTGTCAGATAACTGGTTTCTGTCAACTCCATGACGGGACGATTATTTTATCAGAAATGAATAACAAAGTAATCAAACGTCTAGACGGCCAGAAATTACAAAGTACATGAAACATTCAAGTTATCAAATTACCCAGTCTCTCTTTGTTCGCATAGGTAGGAAAGAAGCAGCGGTTGCTCTACATAAGTCAGATGTTGAAGGTCAATGTGTTACCATAAAAATTGACAAAAATATAGTTATTAACAGGAGGGCGGATTTAAAACACGATTGTGTTTGCGTCGCTCACAGCAATAAACATTTATATATAGGCAGCAAAAATGACGAATGCGTTTATATCTACAACGAATCTTTGCAACCAGTTAGATCAGTCTCTCACCAAACCATCTTTTCGGCTCAATTTTGTTTCGGAGCTTTCGCCAAGGAAGAGGAAACAACCTTCTATATAGCGAGTGGGAAGGGTGGTGTAATTTCTGCAAAGGAAAATTTAGACTTTGAAGTTGAAAAAGAATGGTGTTTTAGGGACCATAGTTCATTCAACACAACTTACTTGAGTTTTGACAGTGCTGGCGATATTTTGCTGATTGATAATGGTTCCAGACTTATAAAATTGAACAAGGAAGGAAAGGTTTTAGCCGTTCTCTTTCACAATGAAAATATGATGGAATCGTTCACCATTCCTTTTTTTGACGATAAAAATAATCGTTTACTAGTATCTGTCCTCTGGAAAAGACACGATCAAAGTATTTGACTGTCATTGATTGTTTAAGGTTAAGCACATGTTTCATGCATCATGTTCCAAGATAACTTGACAGGTAACATTAAGTTAAAAACGATTGATTAATTATTTCCTTTGTGTATGTATTATTTTTGTTGTTTTGTTTTGTTTTTTGTGTTGTTGTTGTTTTTGTTAATGTTGTTGTTGATGTTGTTGTTGTTGCTTTAAGGGGGATGCTTACATTTTTTTTTTTGGGGGGGGGGGGGGCCGAGCTGTTTTTTTTTAATAATTGATTGCAGCTTTTAAGCATGGTTTTTTGATTATATAATTAATGTCTTCAACTTGATAAGAAAACATTACTTTTAAAGCTATTGAAAAACCTTTTGTTGAAAAGTTTTAAGTATATTGAACACTATATTTCTGATTGTTTACAAAAAGAATATGTACGCGTACTTGCTTTAAATTCAGTAATAAATGCATATTCTACAGTCGCATAAAATGAACTGTCAAAAATTCAGGGGAATTTCATTGTAATTATTATTCATAATTATTCATAATTGCTGATCTTCATGTTAGTTCACCATTGACTTTTTCTATTACTTAATATCAATATTGCTTTTATGAAATAGTTTTCCCAATATTAGCTGTCATTATTTTTTTTCACTGGCTAATTATCTTTTTGTTTTTGTTCAAGCATTTCATTTGGGTTAAAAACCAAAGCTTATGTCATTAACAGGTTCGTTACTATTTTAAATTGTTATGTTTTCGACTGGTACGACCTGTTTTGATATGAGTATGTAAAGTCAGTATTTGATAAATGCTACTAATTTGTATGCAATATACATTAACCAATTATTGTTGATGATGCTATAAAAACTGTTTTAAAATCATAGAATGCTCACCGTTTACTTGATGACTGTTTTATTTGCGGTTTTAAAATATATTTTTCATTTACAATGACTTTGTCAAAATACGCGAAAAGCATATGAAATCTTTCATTTCTTTATTCTAGAAATATAAGTATTGGCATGCGTAAAGATTATGTTTCAATCTTTAGTACTTAACTGTTTTTAACTTAGTAACGGTAGGTTCAGAGTAAGTAAGTAAGATTGCTCAATTAACATGCTGTTTTCTTACAATATTTGCCATATAACAAATTGTTGGTTGAAAATATCACAGAGGCAGGTTTGAAATGCTTTAAATTTTACACATCGTCATGCTGAGGGAGGGTCCACGTTAATGTTAATAGAACTTTAAGCCAAACCTTTTTTATGTACACTTGACGATATTTTAAAATTGTGATATTATATATAGTGTGTATCAATACAATGAAAAATAATCAATTTAAACATGCAGTAAGCTTTAATGCCAGGAAAATGTTACTGTTATCAAGTGTGCTGAACTTGACATGTTTTCAAAGATGCCGGCTTTTAACCAGATGTCACACATTTAAATATTCATTAAAACTATTGGAGTTGTGATTAAATAACCACTTAACTATTTATATAGAATATATATACTACGTGTGGTGACCATTTAAACTGCACGTTCATATTCATTAACTTATTTTATCTACTTGGTACTTTTAGCAGTATATTTGGCACTAGGTGAATAAACGTATACGAACAAAATCGCTGTGGCCACTTTTGTGACGAAATTAATCAATGTACACGTTCAATTTCAATATAGTTACTTCGTAACCAAGAGATTTAATAATATATTTTAATATTACTGTGAACCAAATGAATTCATTTATACATTTCAATATCACAATAGACAAAATGGATTCGTTCTTTTGTTGCAATATCACTATTATACTTACGTTTCGATAACACTGTGGACAAAATTAATTAATTCATACGTTTAATCATCATAATGAACGAAATGAATGCATTTATGCAATTCAATATTACTATGAAACAACTGAATTAATTTATACGTTTTAATATCAGTATAAACTAATAAAACTATGCATACGTTTCAATATCACTATGTTCACTTTTATTATACAGTTATTTCATATGTAATTTGAGAACAGTCAATATTTTGGGTCGAGGTGGAGGGGGTAGTGTTTTGAACTGTTGCCCAAGGCCGTAGGCCGAGGGCAACAGTTCAAAACACTATCCCCGACACCGAGGGACAACTGTTTGACTGTTCCCAAATCACATATGAAATAATTGTTTTATTACCTGATCAATTACTGTTTTAACAGTACTTGCAGAAGAAAAAGGAACAAGAAAATAGTTTTGCACATATGTTCATAATTAAACTTAATACTTTAACTATGTCACGTCACGTCTGGTTCATGATCAAGATCGATGGACGTTGAACAAGTGGGAATCCTCTATGACGTCAATGACGTCAGAGCACGAGAGGGAAACAGTCAAAACTATTGACCGGTCAACAGTTCGCGAACGTTGACGTTTTTAGAATTTCAGAAAACAGTAAAAAAATACCAAATTACATTTATATAAGGTATCAGGTAATAAAATAATAAATTCGCATGTTTTATCGTAGGTGTTATGATCCAATAGGCATACTTGCATTATTTAGCGACATTGCATATGATGCATACATAATATATATGTTGATCATAGAATGGTTTATTAATTTTATAGCCAAAATGCATCAACTTTAATTAAAACATACAATTATACAACAAAACCTCCGGCAGAGCTATTCAAACAGTGTGTTCTTACGTCTGTGAGGAAACACTTTTAAATAACTGTTCCCTTCCATTTGGTTTAACTGCGATGTGTCCTGCTTGGGCCAGTTAAAGGACATCTTGTGACGTGAAGATTTCTTCTTAAAGTCTTGTGTCGTCCTTCTGTATTTTGACTATTTTCATAGATTAAGTAGCAAGATTTTACATTCTCGCATGCAGATTTTTGCGCCATTCAACGTTGAATTTGAAGGATACTAAACTTAAATCAACGTAAGAACCAAAATGTAATATTCTTGATAATTAAGATTAATTCTCGCATATTTGGATAATGTAGAATTTTCTAAGTTCAAAAGAGCCAAATTTCTGTCAAAATCCGCATTAGAGTTATGGGCCCTTGGTAGTGACCTACTATTACGCTCTCAAATACGTGTGTGAAGTTTCAACCAATTTCCTTAAGAAGTTTTGGAGATACTGGCCTGTACTATCTAACCAAATGAAACGTGACGGCAATTCGGCACATTTAACTGTTTAAACAGGACACAAAAATACAGAAGTTATAGCGGATTTGATAACGAACTAAGTTACAATTTTTGAAAATAGAATTGATGGCATATTCAGCAAAAAGTCTGGATTTAGATTGTATTTTTTTCGACGAAACTAACAGTTTCGCGTTGAAAATTTAACAGTTGTATCAACTTGAAATTCCTAATCGAAAAATAACGTTCTTTCATATGATTCACTGCCCACTACGTGCTCGTTGTTTAATAATTAAGTTGCATATTTTTTGAAAAAGTAGAACCTAATGCATAAATTAGAAAAGTAATGCCATGTCTTGAATTTTTATTGTTTGTCTGTTACGACAAAGATTGAAACGTCTGATCGAAGCAAAATAAATTGGACAACAAGACTAGTAAAATTGAAATGATTGGTATACTTAAAGTAAATTCAAGACAATATGTGCCGAGAATATGTCCATTTAAATAAGGTACGAATGATTTTGAGGACGAACTGGTCTGCAGTGACCTCCCCTTACTGGCCGTAGCGCAACCGGTGTACTTCATTAACGGTTGAGGGAAAAACCGCCTCTCTGATAGAGGGCGTGGTCTAGGCTTTGTTACTTGTAATTTAATGATTCGACAAGTGATATTGATCAACGTTGTCTTCCGCCAGCATCATATTAAATTTGGCGACAATTAAAAGCGGAGCCGAACTTTAATTTGGCGACAATTAAAAGCGGAGCCGAACTTCAACAGGGGTGGAGCAAATAAAGTGAGTGACACTGCATCAGTCGTTACGTCTCTTAACGGTTAAGTTTTAGAACGATCAACAATAGTCTGGCTCATTAGCACGTTATTTTTATTACATGTATGTAGATTGAATTAGATAATGATAAAAATAATATGATTTTCAAACATGGCACAACGTTTATTCTAATCCCTTAAAGCTCTGTGACATGTTGTACATCAGAAAAGCTATTTTTATTAGAAAATTTAGAAACAGTGTGATTTTGTTAAAACAAAAAAATACACAAAAATCAAGCCATTGCTGTATGGACAAATGCATATATACTAAACGCCGCTTGCAAGCGGCGTTTAATGACTCACTATTGAAAGGCAGCCATTTTAACATTGTAATGAATGGATGTACTGTATCCATTACATAAACACGTAACAATAATCTGACACATGTGTGCACAGATATCGGTAGCATTTTCGGAATGAAAATAAAGGCAGAGATCGCGTGCATGAGGCAATAATACAGATTTTCCACGATATTGATCATTGTACTATATTTAGTCATAATTGACGATGATGTTATTGGACGATTACTACATGCCTGACTGACTTTTATTGTAATGTTTGTAGTTTCGTATTTTACCTCTCAGGAAAGAGAAACATATTTGTAAATAGCGAGGTAAAATAAAGAAATTTGTAAGCCCGGATTTGAAATGGATTAACACTGACCCACTTTCACTTGATCAGTTGACAACGGAATCTGGAAATACTGTCGGGTACTACTGAGGTACGCATTCATTCTGAAATACCTATTTCTTTCTGTATACAACGCACTTGTTAAAATTTCATCAGGTGTTAAAATTGTCATCGATTTGTATCATGCACAATTTTTCTTCCGCATATGCTATATATACATGTAACATATGTTACTTTTCCTATTAAACGCAGCAAGAAATGATTTGATAATTATTTTAGACAATGGAATAATTTATTAAACGATACATGTCAGCAAATGCTGTAAACTACCTGGAAAAGGAATTACATGACAAGGTTTGTTTGTTTGTTCGTTTGGTGTCAAGTTAGCAAGGTTTTAAAGCTTCCCGGGATGTGACGATCACTGATACAAAGATAAATGATGAACTGAGAATGTAAATGTTATACTAGTATGTCGAGTTTCTACTTGAACTAGTTAAGGGGACCTTAGCAGTTCTTTCGGCCTGTCGACAGGCCGGAAGAGAGCTGGATAGATCCTAAACAAAACAGAGGAATAAGTCACATGCTGCGGTCGAACCGATATAATATCCCACTCATGACATTTCAAGTTACATTTGTTATGTGCACTCTATGATTTACACAGAGGGACGCTAAATCTCTTTTCAATGAAAGAAAAGAAGATAAGTGATATTACTATTATACTATTAGAACAAACATTGCTAATTCGATTTAAAATAATGAATAGACTGCACTGTTTTTGTTGTTGTTTTTGTTGTGTGTTGTTGGTGTTGTTTTGTATGTCAACGGGTATATACAAGTTTAAAGTGACATGTTTAGAAATTGTGTACGATAAATAAACAAACATCATAAAGTTTGTCCAAGGCATGTACAAATGATTCATTTGATTGAAACGATAATTAAAATTATGAAAAAAGCAATTTTTGCCATTTTTGTATTTTCTGATCGCAAGATCAGTAAATACAAAGCTAACATCCACGGTCTTACACAAAATTTCCTAACAGACCTAACAACGCAAAGTAGTTCTCACTCAAAACTGCTTAAAAACCAGCAATTTAAAAGAAAGAATAATTTTTAATGTAGGCATTTAACGAATTACAGTGCATTAAAAGTTTAGATTAGTCAATAGAAATATGAGGTTACAATCACAAATTTCACGGATGAATATCTTTTTTACCCAATGAAAAATGTTCGGCTATTTCCGTAAAGCTTAATCAATGAAAATGCTATTTTTAGCTATGTATATTACCGAATACTCCAGAGCGTAGTACACAAATAAATCTGACTGTCGAGTAGTGGAATATATACATGTCGGACTGTTTTGGCGAGAAGATTTTCGCTAAATTATTTTCATCAGAGTTTAACAACAGGTTTATCGTGAACAATATACCTCGAAATTAATAAGGATTACAAACACGAAATGGAAATTCTCAATTTAGAATTACAATGTATTTGTTTTATTCAAGCTACATATGTATTACCTCACCGTGATGCAGAGGTAGCGCGCTCGTTTAGGGTGTGAGAGGCCTAAGTTTCAAATCCTAGTCGAAGCAACTTTTTTTTGAAGTGTCTTTTTTAAGGAAGTACCATAAAGTGTGGCTGTCATAAAAAATGAAAACTGATTTTCTGATGCAACTCTAGTCATGCAAACTTCCATATGTATCAATCTCAAACTGTTATAGAAAAAATCTAAACGCAGTCGCTGCGTAAGATGAATTATAGTATAAAATAAACTTATACAGGAAAATACATACAGATAGCAAGTATGATTTAGATTGCAAAGATCAGAAAATACCACAGAGCTTGCAGCCCTTTGATTTAACTTGCTGATCAGTTGGTTTTGGCATGGCGCGGCTTATATATCAAATTGTATTTTATAACATGTGGCATTAATTAGGTTAAAATAAATCAATATCTAAATCAAACCAATAACCTGTGTTTAGCTTTATGTCAGTCGATTTTTTTACGTTCCATTTTAAACAATGAGAGCATTAAATTAATGTTAACGTTATTTCAAATAGTTTTATTCCTACGAGTAAATGTTCAAAACTCAGTTGGTGAATAGCAGTTACGTTACATTTACTATTCAACGAATAAATGATTGATTGTAACTTAAAAATAATACGATCTACGATTTACTTTTTAGTTTTACTGTTTAAACAAGAACAAATCGATATTAACTTGTATGCGTTTAGGGCAAAACTTTCTTTTGGTCTTAATCTAGAATTTCAAAAATATTCTCGTACATTTGAAACCGACTTCTACCCACGTGTACCCATAACAATGACTAAAGAATATCAGCTTTAACCTATTTAACTTTTTGCAAGTCAAATTCTTGCATGAAACTCGATATTTTCATACGTTTAAATACTTTTAAAGTTCAACCAAGCATTTTATTTATGCGTTACGCAGTTAGAAAAAAATGATAAAACCCGGAGAGAGTTGTGAAATAAAAGCAATATTCAGGTGAATTCATGTATCACCTTAGGTGGGAAACATGAATGAAATATTTTTGTACAATGCATCTAATTTAGTTAACATATGCAAGTGATAGCCTGAATATATTTTAAAAAGTCCACTAACTGTTTCCTTGAAAAAATGTTTTTGTTTAATAAATAACTAAAAACAATATAATCAATCATAAAAAAGACTTTTTGATATCATCAAGAAAAATGGTATTAAGTTTAAGCTGTAACCTGGCACATGGATGCAAAAAGGGGATAATTTTAAACAACTATATGTGCCGAGGTTTTTCAGGTTGGATTTTCTGATGTTTCTGTCGAGATTTTTCAACCTTTTGCGAGTTTGGTTTGGTTTCACTTATCGTTTTCAGTTGCAGTTTTGATATAATCTTGGTAAGATTGGAACAGCAGTATCAAAATATAATTCTAACATGACCCACATTTTTCTCTATTGAACATAGAAGTATTATGCAGTAAAATCACTGTTGATGTTCTATATTTAGACATAAGACGTAATCATTATACATGTGACGTTACCAGTAAAAATGCGACGCGCTGAAAATAAGTACGGAAACAAATCAGGCGCAATTTAGCTTAATATCAGTTACGCCAGCATTTATTTTCTGATGTCTTGTTAGAATCGAAATAATATATCCAAATCGGTGATTTTATCGCTTGATAACATCACTATTTGTCGTTCGGATGCGCATCATTATATCACTCGGGCTAAGCCCTCGTGATATAATTCTTCACATCCGAACTCCAAACAGTGATGTTATTGAGCGATAAAATCACTGTTTGAAATATATTATTTCTTAAACATAATATGAATTCAAATGATCTATATTTATTATTATAATATTCAGGGATTTTTTATTTTAAAATGGCTGTCATCACAACCTGGAATATCTGGCTCGGCTCTCGGGTGACTAATAAGTGCCAACTTGGCAGAGCCTCGTTACCGCCGTAAATAGTTACCCTAAAGCTAGAGAACTCTGTAAGACTCGTATTCTTTCAAATGAAAAAACTTTAATCTCTGGCTTATAAGTTATGCGATTCTTTTGAACTAATTATAATTCTGAATGATTTTTTTTCTGTTTTCTTTACACAGTGATGATAATACAATGGATGTAGTATGCAGCACACTGGCCAATAAGAACTTCCAGTATTGGTTAAAGGCAAATCTAGCTATCAACATCACCAAAAGTGGCATTGAAGAATGTGTTGACAAAGAAATAAGTAATTATCACGCTGCCATCCTTGATAGTGTACGTACACCAGAGCAAATTCTTCAAGGAGAACTTTGCCATGATTGTACAACAGAAAATGTACTATGCTGCCCAACAAGGCAAATTTGTAAAAGAAATAGAGCAGGTACATGCTCCTTCCATAATGCACCAACGGCATTGTATAGACATTGTCCTAAAAACATTTGTGTCAAATTGAAAGAAAAAATAAGACGAAGCCATGAGTTCAACTCACCATCTTGGAAAAATACTCGTGCAGAAAGATGGTGCACATATCACTGGGAAATAGCGAAGTGTTACATGCCTCCAGATGGTTACTTTGCGGTTGACTCCGTGACGGATACCGATTTAAACGGAATTCTAAGTGTTATAATGAACCACTCCGCACTTGTATCTATATTCGTCAACTAGAAACGGCTAAGGTAACAACTGAAGTAAATTTAGTGCGCTTATTCATGTCAATATATTCTCCTTTTCAATCTGGAGTCTTTACCCTTGTTCGTACCTTCAGTATATTTATACTAAATAAAATGACAGCTCTTAATCAAATAATAAATTTTAAACAGTAAAAACATGTAACGATGTATTTTATCATTTCATAATTATTTTCTTATCCATAAAACATCGCCTTGAACAAAAATTAAAATGGGACATAATCATTCAAAATTCCACAATCACGTTTTTGTCTCATGCATAAATTAAAAACAATCTTTTGATATATATTTATATAGGCAAGGGAAGTAACCAAAGAGTTGCGTCACTCTCCCGATATGCTGCTCAGCGAGCATAAATTGATGGATTTTCTCAACAAATTAATCCGATTTTTGAGCTATTCATACGACAAAAAGGCGATAGATGCTGTGCAGCAAATCAATCAGGTATGCCTATCTATTTGATATATAAACGATTAGCTTTATATCTGAACAGTATACAGATATTAATGTATACGTGATTAGTTGATAGTTAACACATTCATTTTGACAAACTGCCATTATTTTGATTTGTTTTAGATGAGAAGTGAAACGCTTTCAATTTCTACCAGTGATGTAACGAAAGTATTACAAGATGTAATCAAAGAAAAAACAACACTTTCAGTAGACACTATTGACAAGGCAGGCATCGCTGTTTTGAATAAGATAAAAGAATCCCTTGACAAAGCTCAAACTACAATAAGTAATGACTTGGACAGAATTCTCACTGCTAAAACGTCTGCTCTTAACGCCATAGACACAGCTAGAAAACTCTCGTTAGAGACGATTCAAAACGCAACAGAAGAAAATTATCAAAGTTTGAAGAGCAGTAAGTTGTCTTTTTTTGGTTTAGACAATTTTTATATTATTAGTCGTTTCTATCCATGTTTAAACACCAAGCTTGAAGAACTAGAGATGGTATTGAAAAAGAATTATGCATACAAAAATACCTTAGATTTATAAGTAACTTGCTCGAGTTTTAAAGTATCTTTAAGTTTCGGTTTAATCTAAATTTCATACAACAACGCAAGCACTCTGTTTCTAAATTGATAGAATAGCAGGGAAAATGCTTTTAAAACACGATTAACATTTATACATGTACTTCAAGTTTTGAGAATACGAAACGTGCAATAAGTGTAAAAATCGTCGTCAATTAATAGTTATTTTCATCGAGGTTATATTCAGATCTAAAGATCAAAATTGAAATATTTAATTTGCTCTTACAGAAATGCAACATGACCTCATAACCTTCAACAAGACAATCCATGGTAAAATTTCACTACTACCGCTTTTGAATATGAAAGATATTCCGTTGTTAGAGCTTTACGTTCTGCCCGAAATGAAAATAGTGGAGAGTGTAGTAACTAAAATTGGTCAGTCTATATCAAAGAAACAGATAAAAAAATTTAATGACGTACTTCAAGAGTCAAATAAAGAAATTTACATAGCTGCTGATGCCGGGCTAGGAAAAACGGCGTTTTGTAAAAGCCTAGCAATTATTGTGTCTGGCCCATCTACCAGACCAGCCTTGCAACCAATCTAACATAGAAACTCAAAAGACTGCTCTCAAGCCTTTTGATTTTCTTTTCCTCATTTCTCTAAGAGAGGCTCATTCGTTTGATTGCGAGGTTGATGATATGATTACTAACCAAGTGATTTCACGACTTGCTCATTCCCATTTATACACAACCGATACTATTCAAGACATACTTTCTCGCGAGAAGTGTTTGATAGTATTAGATGGAATCGACGAATGGTCGCACCCAGTAGACAAGCTCAATTGCAAATCAGAAACGCCTCACAGAAAAGCAAGAGAAAATTGTACCATCATTACAACGACAAAACCATGGAAACTTGACATTTTAAAGTATTCTAGGTATGTTGTCGACACACATGTAGAAATCTCACAACTAGACGATGAATCCTCAGACCAGTTAGTTAGAAATACGATTTCCAAGTTTGGCATTGACGGAAATTCGAAATTAGAAGATGAGATAATGGAGTTCAAAAAACAAGTAGATACAATGCATGTTTGCAAAGTCAAAACAAATCCTTTGATGCTTACATATCTATTGTGCCTTTGGCATAACAAGAAAGATTTTGGACGTTCAAACTGTGAAATCCTTACTAATATAGTTGGTCTTCTTTTGCTTCATATGGAAAATCATTGCACTTACCAGTCTATTGAAAGGGATGAAACAAAAAAGGTGAAATTGGAAATGCCACACTGCATTTATGCAAACACCATGTGTCGAAAATACTACAAATTCTTGCTGAGCTTAGGACAGTTAGCATTTCTGACATATTTTGATGAAAACCAAGAAAGGTCGAATTGCCTCGATATTAGAAATACTTTGGATTGTCTTATCGCAGAGACAGTTGATGCTTGTCTAGAAGTTGGATTACTGACACAAAGTAAGCTTTCAGGCAAAAAAGAAGGAAAAGTTTCCTTTCCACACGTGTCCTTTCAAGAATACTTTACTGCCTTATATATACAATCTAAACTTGACTTTCGTGAAGTGGTCCAGGATATTTTGAAAATATGTATATCAACAGAGATGGTTCTTGCAATGTCAGATCTTGTCATATATCTAAGTGGACTAGATCCAGGGAAAGCAAGCATTTTGTCAGAAGAGCTATGTAAAGTAACATCTCGTTCAGAAATTATCCAGTGGTACAGAGGCGATGTCGGATCATGGAATCATTTTGTAAGTCACAACGATACTGTAAAAGGAATTCAAGATTTCCAAATTGATTGTGTGAAAGAGAGCATGAACAATGAACATAGCCCAATGCGTCAATATATTGAAGATTTCATCCTAGATAAAGACAGTCTCAAAAAAGAAAACTCATATGCTGTTCAATTCTTAATGGAACAGAACGGAGAAAGTATGAAATCGCTCAAAATTAGAGATGTGAAATCAAAATCTGAATTCCATGATTTGGTTAAGGATCTAGCATGTCGCCAACTAGTCAAACTTGACATTAAATGCGAATTTGACGAAAATGACATCATTCGTCTTTTACAGGTGTCCCAAATGTCACTGAAATGTTTTGTTATAAAAGGTGGGCTGTGGGAAAACGGGGAATGGATTCATAGGAGCATTTCATTGTCCAACAATTCCTTTTATAATGTGTGGAATATAAAACATATTGAACAGCTACATTTGAGAAACGTCAAAGTGACCCATGAACAGCTTGGAAATCTTGTTCGTTTTATTTCCACAAGACCAATTATGACTCAGGTTGCACTACAATCAATTGAGTGTGTCGAACATAAAAACCTATGCAAAGGCGAACATCTTGATTTATCAAAACATTCAGACTTAGAAGTACTCGAAATCGGTTGTGTTCAATTATCAGATATAAAAGTCAATGTCTCCTCATTAAAAGTATGTTACGTTGGAAACATTCCAATTGCGGGAAATTGTTTGGCATCACTCTTTGATTGCCTTCGAAGTGCAGATGTGCTTGAAGTTTTCTCTTGCGGATTGCTAGATAATGAATCTGATGTAGTATCATTACTTCAAACTATTTCGCACCTTGTAAACGTCCAATATATTTGGCTTGCGAATATGGACTTTGAAAAGAGCGCGCTAAATCTGTCGTCAGGAATGAAACGCCTCCAGAAAATTGTTTTGATTAATGTCACCATTAAGTCTGCAGGACTTAAAACTATTTGCATAGAAAGTAAGAAATTAGAACAGTCAATCATCATTGGATTAATCAATTGCAAAATCATTCCACAACAAGAATTCGAGAAAGTTAAAGAGAAAATTCGCGCCTCGAAACATTTTAAAGTTGCCATCGACAATAGCTCTGAAGAGCATCATGAAGAATTTGTATTTGAAACAATAGAAAAGGGCAATGATGATTTATTTGAGGATGAAATCACAACAAACACACCACATTTCTTTTAAAATTAATAACATTGCTGCAAAATACATGCATATTGTTTAACTTGCAAGCAATCCTTTATTATCAAACAAATTATAAAAAAAACTTTGAAATGTCAGTAACGACAATGGTTCGTCTATATAAAACGATATCAGAACTTCTGGTCTTTCTTTGTTTACTTTACTAGTAGTTATATTTTTCCAAGTGGCATGATTTATTAACTTTTGCATCATTGTTACCATTAATGCTTAGTCAAACATTGATTTGATAATCCGTGCACTGCTTCAAAAATAATACAAATTAGCTTAACTTGTAATTAAGTTTATTTTATATATACATATGATGACAATTTTAAAGAATTTTCAAAAGTTAACCTTTTTCCCTTTTTCAAGATAATGTTGTTCTGGCATATACAATATATTACATTCATACTTTTAAGCCATAGCTTAAAGAAAAGATAGATTCAAGAAAATATACACATAAAGGAACATAATAATCTTCATGAAAATGTGCAAATTTCAAACAAAATGTACATATTGATGATTTACACATTTTAATTTTCTCAATTATTTATATGTGAACCTAATTTTTCCTGCGATACGAGCCCTATAAGGAAGTTATAAAAAACAATTTTTCTATTCAGAACGAGCACATTAAAATATTCTTAAGGCATCTAAAGATCCATGTAGAGGAAGCTGGATTATAATACACTTGAACGCTAGAAAACGCTACCTGTTTCTGTTTTGTTTTAACCATTTGTGCTTTGACGAAATACGAATCAGTGGTTTAGGTCCAAAAGCATCTTTATCTACTTTTTAAACAAGAATTTCTAACAGAGTTACCAACGTCCCCCGCCTAAGGGAAGTTTTACACGAAGCACAAAATAAGCACAGGCATATACTTATAATATTAATACAAAAGCGATTTATATTGTTAATTCACACATCTAATCGTATTTTTCTAATTAATGAGAGTATAAACAGTTAAATAACAATATTTAACAATTGAAAAATATCTTCTTCTACTGAACACAGTCTATCATCTTTTTAAACCAAATTGGGGAAAATATTACTTATTATTACCGTTTATCATTATGATATTAGTTTATTGATACTTCGTTAAGTGTTTAAAACAAATGTCTCATATTCAATCCTTTGATCAGAACTGAATAAGTTGATCCGAAGCAGACATAAAATATGCCGGACAGCTCGCGAAATGTTACCATCGATCCCTTTGTAGCGCTTTTTTGCAATTGACGTCATACATGTCATAACGTCCCGTCAATTTTCCGCTTTCATGCTCGCCCTTTCCTGTAAGTTATCTTGTATGAGCCGTTTTTGAATTGCTTGCGCCAGCTAAAAACAAGTGTTCTGATGGCATAACATAACACATCCACTCATTATTAAGAATATTTGTGCCAAGAATTAACAAAAATCCTTCATGGATAAGGGAGTTATGGACCGGACACGACATATACCCTCACATAGACAATGTTGGCCTTTAATCACCTTTAATCACCAAGTGTGACTTTGACCTTGAAGGTAGGGGTCTGGTTGTTGCGCAAGACACATTGTCATATCACAACAAACATTTGTGCCAAGAAATTTTAAATTCCTTTGATATAGTAATGGACAGAATACGAAAATGTGTCATGTTTCTTTTGTGACAGTGGGAGAAAGGATTGGGCCGAAGGAGACGATCCTTGGATTGAACACTCAAGTTGGTTTCCGAATTTGTGAAACAGAGAAACAATCAATCAATTACAGAGAAGGGATCTATAATCACCACAATCTCGGAACATAATCAAGGTCACGAAGAAAATATTGCAAACGATGTACACCAACCTTCGGAAGACTGTCGATACGTAAATGATTCGCAAACAAATGATAGGGGAAATTTGAATCAAAGAACGACTATTTTACAAACAAATGGCCAATTGGAATATTACCCTGGTATATCCACAGAGAGACCTAAACATCCAGATTACGGAATAAAAAGTGTAAGATTATCCTCTTTTACAAATTGGAATCAAGGAATAGTTGACCCGACGCAGCTTGCAGAGGCAGGGTTCTTTTACACAGGTATCTGTTTATTTTCTCATTAAAGTATACGTATTTCATACTAACTTTTTTCTGGCGGATTTTCAAGAGAAAGTTACTGTAATTCCAAAAATAATATAACTTTATGCTTTAAGCGTCTAAATTAAATGACATCATTTCATATCGAAATGTTGACTATTACCTAAGTCGGCGGTACGACAGCTAGCGTACGTTTGTATTTACACTGCACTCCATGTTTGCTATGGTAGGCGTTATTGAATATTTTCGTTTTATCTATTCAAGTTAAATCAAATTATTTAACTTATATTTCCAGGGGATCGTGACTGCGTGACATGTTTCTTTTGTGGAGGTGGAATGAAAGGCTGGGAAGAAGGAGACAATCCTTGGATTGAACACGCAAGATGGTTTCCAAATTGTTCATTTGTGAAACAATGCAAGGGAGATAACTTTGTTAATATGTGCCGAATGGCCAACATCAATTATATGTCAGCCGATGGACAAATGGAAAATTTTGTAAGTCAATGAATAATATTTTTGGCTCATTTATTTTTATATATGAAGTGATTTTAAAAGATTTTTGATTAACGATTGACTAGATTTCACTGAGGTGACAGACTTTCAATCACATATTATTTGGCATTTAAAGATCCTGTAACAAATTTTTTTATGGTTTTTTTTTATAAATATGATGCTCAAATTAAGATTTATCAATATTGTAGGTTCGAAAAAGCATTATTTATAAAGATATAACCGAATTAAACATTTCATGTAAATAAAGGGAGGTAATAAAATTTATTTTCTTTAAAGTTAAAGTCAAATTTTACAGTAAGTAATGATTGCATATATTTTAATGGTTACATATAATATGCACAAATATTTGCAGTACATATTTTACATATTCTTCGATGTTTTAAAATTGTTTTATTTGCATGATTATTTACATGTATATAATTTCACTTAGTGTGGTTTACAACTTTCATCACAACATACAGGATCTTTAATTAAACTGAAATGAAAACATAACATAGATGTCATTGAATAATGTATATATATTCAGGTTTTATCACCACAAAACATTGAAAGTAACGAAAAGTACGTAGATGATCAACAAGTAGAAGATTTGAATAGCACAGCTGCAAAACTTGTAAGGGATATGGGTTATGGGCAAGAAGACTTGGAAAATGCTATTAAATGTGCAAGAGAGAAATATGGTTCTTCCGAGTTAAGAGCTCAATACATCCTAGAGTCCTTGTTAGACAACAGTTATAGAGGAAGCAAGAATATACCTAGTGGCGCTCATAACACTGGCCCTACCAACCCTGCACAACAAGATGGTTATGCCACAAATGCTGATAGTAGCACTGTAAAAAGTTCAGGTATAAATGAAAATAATTTTATTGTAAGCAATATCTATTTAAGCTGAATGTTTTCCAGTCATTTTTCTTCACTCTATCGGTTAACTAATTAAATGCCAGTTATATCTGTATCCCAAAACAGAATTGATTTCAAATAATATCAGCTTAATGTTTTTGTCTAAAATGTAAATATGCGCTATTTTGTGGTTGGAGTAATTTTTAAATCTTTTATCATTTCAGAGCAACAGGCGCTTTTAGATGAGAATCTTCAGTTAAAAAATCAGATGACATGCAAAATTTGTATGGACAAAGATGCGTGTGTTGTATTTTTACCATGCGGTCACATGGTTTCTTGTGTGGAATGTGCGTTCGCTTTAAGGAAATGTGCAATATGTAGAACTTTGATACAAGGAACAATACGAACTTACTTGGCATGAAAAAATGTTAATGATAACATTGGGATTTTAAATTTTATCCATTTCAAAATGTCTGGAAAAATGAAGAAACAGAAAAATACATTCATCAATATTGTTATGATGCAGTATAATCATGATTTTATTTATTTATTTATTTATTTATTTATTTATTTATTTATTATCCACTCTTTACGGAATCATATACATTAATCTCTATCGGATGTTAGTTTTAATACCATTAAAGTATTTTAGTCATTTCACTGCTTCTCATAACCTTTTTATGTCACAAATATAAATGTTATCGTTAAATGTTTTTGTCTTTTTTCCGTGTTTTTGATGTTTTTCTTGTTGATGCAGTTGTAAGTTTAAAAACTCTGCACATAAGTTGATAATCCTTACGAAAGATAGCTGTCATGACATTGATGACTAAAGGAATGTTGTGATTAATTTGTCACTGAAACTTGAAATGTTTTGTTCAGGGTTTAAGGACTTCCAAACAGATTATCACCAACAATGGTCAATTTAGAAAAGGCTCAAAACAATATGTAGAGTTAAAATGGAAATATTTATATAAATATCTCGACAGACTGGCATAAGTAGTCCAAACATTAAACATTTTAGTCAAAACACTATGTTACGTAATTAGTTATAAAATCTATAGATTTATAGATAATAATAATCGTAAAATGAAACATGTTAAAAGCCGTACACTTTGAATATGAAATAAATCGAGGAAAATTGAATTTTTAATGAACGCACAAAAGGAAAAAAAATTAAAATGTTGCTTACTCGGTTAGATTGAGGCTGTTCATTGACGGTATAAAATTAGACAAGAACCTTTGAATTTCGAAACATCTGCAGATGTGTTCATACAGTGGTCGTCAAATATCCGTCTATATGACACGTTTGTGTCCTTCCGTGAAAAACAACGTATGGTCCCCTAGAAAAAAATGTTTTCGCCGCAAACGATAAACTAGATAAAAGAGAATATTGAAAGAGGTTCATCATTTACAAAGCTAATCTATCACAGACAAGCAGTCAAATACAAATTAAAAAATCGGGCATAACATTGCAAAAGAAATCAGTTTTCAAGTAAAAATGGTCGGAAATATAACTAACGATGTTCTGTGTTGGTAACTAATCTTACAGGTTATTAGTCATTCCTTAATGGCAGATCCTTATTCTTTTGGAAATATATAATTTAAATCTAAATATTTTATGACAATAAAAACCAAGATATACAGCAATGTATTGACAATATTTTGTTTAACTACAATACCAATCATTAACTATAGCGTGCACATGATTAGCTGTTATTATTTTTGGCAGTGCGAATGTTAACTTAACACAAAATTAAATAATTGTTTCTACAGCATTTATTGCATGTAGAAAATCTTATTTTGCAGAGGAAAGTGTTAATACAAATAAATTTGCGCTTTTACGTTATAAATAAACATGTTTTGTATAGCTTTTATTTCTGATTCATATAACTGAACTAACATATACTTTTTTAAGGTACATGTTTTGATTATTTTTGATTATTTTTTTTTAAATAAAACTAAAATAATCAGTATAAAGATGAGAATTTATCAATTTAATAAGTTGGTTTGAGAATACAATGTTTGCCTTTATAATTTGCTTTACTACTATTTAAAGTCATCTCCTTTGCAATTTGTTTATATTATATTTTATGCAAAATTTCAAGTTCTAAACGAAACAAAAGTAAGAGGACCTTTTTGTCTTTTTGTCTACTATAGATTCTTATGTAGTTTGCTACATCATTAACTTTAACTTTGAACTTTCATAATATTTACTTAAACGTAGCATACATTGTTTTATTAAGTATTTAACAACGATACGAGTATCTATTCCTAAATAAAACAAGTTTGTCTGGCCTTGCTTATTTACTTTGACCTTTTTTCTATAAAACAGCCATTTAAGTATCTTAAACCAGACGGTGTCATGCTAGATAAATTATTTTGACAATTTATTTCAAACACGGTGATTAAGTAGAGAACAGCTAATTTACAACAAAATTTTTTAAATAAGATTAAAATTGTATTAAAACAAAAAGAAGTAGAATGTTGCCAAAGGATAAAAGAGTAAAATCAAAACAAGCTAGAATACACAATGGTCGAAAAAAACAAGCATTTAATACAGAAAAAGGAAAAGTAAAGAAGCATACAGCAGATGAAGCTAGCAAATACTATGACAGAACAGCCGTAGACCGACAAACAGGAATTCGAGAGACCGCAGACGTTAAAGGTGCAGTAAATATTTATAAATATGGGTGTAATCAAAATTCTCCAGTGTTAGCTCAGACAGAATCAATGTCTTTAGAAAAAGAGTCTCAGACACCTGGAACTTCTAGTATTGCTCGCAGTGATTCGTTTTGTTCTGTAAGGGGACAGTTTGTCGCAGTGTTAGCTCAGACAGAAGCAATGTCTTTAGAAAAAACGTCTGAGACACCCGGAACTTATAGTATTGCTGGCAGTGATTCGTTTTGTTCTGTAAGGGGACAGTTTGGTGGGAACTGTACTTACAGCAACTTACTCGGGTAAGTAAACGAAATCAAATCTTTCTCAAGGAGTTTTCATCACAAACATTGCGTTTTATACACTCATCATGAATTTATTTAAACAATTCAATATAAAGGAAGTATACCATATTGATGTGGTATTCATATCGACATAAATGTTACAATATACAAAACGAAACGATCATTACTTTATTTATTGTTATAAAATTATTTACACGTATTGATCATGGATGTTACGTTTTTAAAGCATTACGCATCATTAATGATTTTATTACATTATTATGTTTTCAGAGAAACAAGCGAAAAAGAGCATGATCAAATTGAGTTTCAAAATGATGTTCCTTTCCTGAAATTCATAAAAGATATATCAATCAAAACAGATAAAGATGAAGAGCCTTGTCAGATAACTGGTTTCTGTCAACTCCATGACGGGACGATTATTTTATCAGAAATGAATAACAAAGTAATCAAACGTCTAGACGGCCAGAATTACAAAGTACATGAAACATTCAAGTTATCAAATTACCCAGTCTCTCTTTGTTCCTTAGGTAGGAAAGAAGCAGCGGTTGCTCTACATAAGTCAGATGTTGAAGGTCAATGTGTTACCATAAAAATTGACAAAAATATAATTATTAACAGGAGGGCGGATTTAAAACACGATTGTGTTTGCGTCTCTCACAGCAATGAACATTTATATATAGGCAGCAATAATGACGAATGCGTTTATATCTACAACGAATCTTTGCAACCAGTAAGATCAGTCTCTCACCAAACCATCTTTTCGGCTCAATTTTGTTTAGGAGCTTTTGCCAAGGACGAGGAAACAACCTTCTATATAGCACACCGTACAATCAAATGGGCAGACAGCTGTTCCAGCGTCCACAGCTGTACCAGTATATACATGTCGGCGCGGGGAATACAATTGACGTACGATAAGTATTCGTCTATTTTTAACATATCCAAACTGTGTTCCAGTAAATCAATGTTATTGATTCATAGTCAACATCCAAAGAAGCATGCTAACAAATTTCTGGCCCTGTGAAAGCTTTACTTCACATGAATTTTGACTGAAAATAACCACACTATCCGATGAGATGCGGTATTTTTAGTTTGAAGTCACAAAATCTTATATTTTCTCATGATTATTAATCCTTTTTTCATACGATTCGTAAACGTCAACATTTGGTCATTAAATATTCCAAATCATACCTTCAAAAAAGCTTTTCTGTTAAAGTTATAAGGTATTTAAGTTTGAGTGTTTGAGTGTCATTAAAATTTTAGTAACGTCATCAGCTGTTCGCCTCTTTTTAATGATAACATCGACAGCAATTCATCGGCAAGCTAAGGATGAATAACGCTGAGAGCTGTTCAAAGAAACAATTTTCAGAGCTTTTGTCCTACAGTAACTAAAGTAAAACTTTTTTGTCCATTTAAAATATTACTTTATTCATGATACTTTCTAATTATATTATTTTTATTATTACTTATCATTTGTTGTATCTTAGCTGAGAGGCCTATATCTCCATTTACCGCACTGTATTTCAATATTGATATTGTTCATATGAATGAATGAATGAGTGAATGAATGAATTAATTAATTAACGAACGAATGAACGAACGAACGAATGATGCAATATACGTATATGTTAAAACAAATTGTTTGTAGAAAGTATATGAGTTGTAATATTCTAAAAATTACATATTATACATTCATTTTTCTTCCTATGCATGTCCTGTTGTTGTTGTTGTTGTTGTTGTTTTCTATTTCAGAAGGCCACATTGGAAATAAGATATATATGATTGTTATTGTATGTTATTAATGTATAACCTTCTTTAAATAAAGATACTATTTTTTTATTATTATTATAATATAAAAAGGTAGCAAGATCTATTAATATGTTTCTGAAATGTTAAATTCAAAGAAAGTAAAGGCAAATTTAACGCTTAATACGAATACTCTGTATTAAAACTAAATCCATCAAGTGTTATTATAAATAATGACATAGTGTAGACATGTCCCATGCAGTAAATGGATGTGTAACCCGAGATGTCTGCCATATAAAATGATTTATTTTAAAATAAATAATTGAATAATTTTTAAGAATGGTTATTATTTCTATTGCACTATACATTAAAACAGATTTCAAGGATAAATAACAACATGTTTTTCCATGCACTTTCATATCTCGGGTTACACAGCCATTCACTGCATAGGACTTGTCCATTATATGAATTATTTATAATAACACTTGATGGATGCCTTCATTTACAAGACTGAATATTAAGCGTTAAATTTGCCTTTGCCTTTTGACTTAAGCATTTCATAAACCTATTACAGGAAATCCACTGAGGTTTATAAGCCTAAAAACATGAAATTTTATTATTTCACATAAAAAAACATGAGCACTAAAACATAAATATTAATAAAATATAACCAAGAAATATAGGAGAAATACATTGAAAATCATATGTTTGTGCTATTCTCATTCCGATTTGAGTGAAAAGCGTTTAAACTCTTTTCAATTTTGGGTCATTTTTTCACTATTATAATATTCTGGAAAAACGGAGCAAGCTTATGATCGGAAATTTTGCAAATAAGTTATTAGTATAGATCTACATCAAATCGAGAAAAAATCTCAACAAATTATTTCCAGTCCCGTCGTGTCAAAAAACCTTAGTGGAGTCCCTTTTATAGGTTTTGCTACCTTTTTTTATTGAAATACAGTGCGGTGAATGGAGATCAAGGTCTCTAACCTAAAATATAACAAAT